CCGTGGAGGTCGTTCCACTGAAGAAGAGAAATGGACTCCCTGCACAAAGCTGGGTCGTCTCGTGCTAGGTGGTAAAATCACACAACTGGAACAGATCTACCTTCATTCTCTTCCTGTGAAGGAATACCAAATCATAGATCTCCTTGTCGGACCTTCGTTGAAAGACGAGGTTATGAAGATCATGCCTGTTCAGAAACAAACCAGAGCTGGTCAGAGGACGAGATTCAAGGCGTTTGTCGTTGTCGGAGATGGTAATGGGCATGTTGGATTGGGAGTGAAGTGTTCCAAGGAAGTTGCGACCGCCATTAGAGGTGGAATCATTCTTGCGAAGCTTTCTGTGATTCCGGTGAGAAGAGGTTATTGGGGTAACAAGATCGGAAAGCCACACACTGTTCCTTGTAAGGTTACTGGAAAGTGTGGTTCAGTTACTGTGAGAATGGTTCCAGCTCCTAGAGGTGCTGGTATTGTTGCTGCTAGGGTTCCTAAGAAGGTTCTTCAGTTCGCTGGTATTGATGATGTCTTCACTTCCTCCAGAGGATCCACCAAAACCCTTGGAAACTTTGTCAAGGTTTGATTTTGTGGCTTCTTTTAGATTGATGCATTTGTATAATTAGGTGAATGAATTCGTAATTTAGCTTGTTGTGAGGATTTTATTGCGGTGAGTGGTGGTAGGGATTTACTTGACATTTGCTAGTTGCTTTATGTGGGGTTCATGTGATAAAGTCTTGACATTTCATCTCTGTGATTCTGTAAATGTTTGTTGCAATATATTAGCAGAGAGATGTTGTTGATTATTTTTCAACTCAATTGCTTAATTATCAGCGATTGATTGATTGATGATGGGTTTGATGTTGTTGGTGTATGGGGCAGGCTACGTTTGATTGTCTTCAGAAGACATACGGTTTCCTTACGCCAGAGTTCTGGAAAGAGACGAACTTTGCTAAGTCGCCATACCAAGAGTACACTGATATCCTGGCTCTGCCTGCCACCAAGGCCTCTAAAACCGAGGTTGAAGACCAAGCTTAAGATTGTACCCACCTTCATGAAGATGAGTATTTTCAGCTAAAGAAAATGGTTTTATAGGTTTGGTTGTTGCAAATGGCTCATCCCTTTTTGCTTCTTTTGCTCTGTCGATTTTGATATTGGAGGTTTTATTTAAGGACATCGGTTTTATAGTTTTGTCTTAATACTTTGGTGCAAGTTAAACTTCATGAATAGCATTTTCAATAACAAACATGGTTTCTTAAAAGCATCTACTTCCTTCCATTAAAAAAGGTTGAAAGATGCATGTTACATATTATAGGATATAAAATGTAACTAATCTCTACTATTTCAGTATCTTTGCTTTTTAGTCGTGACCTATCGTTTTCAAACCGTAACCATATCATACTGGCCGCAGATCATATCCAAACCGCACAGTTATCACACTCAGATTGCATTCGCATTTGGGAGAATTAAGTTCAAACAAGTATTTGTTTTCGTTATTCTTCTGAGTTGTCTAGTAACGCCTCTGATTGAAGATCTATAAAGAAAAATCTAAGTAGTGTTACATCTGTACAGTTCCATTTCTTCTTGCAGTAACTGTAAAATGTACATCTGTACTTGCTTTGATGATGTTTTCGCCATCACCGAAGAAAATGAAATATATGTGTCAAAACAATTACATCTACTTTTCTTCCGGTGAGTGAGTGATCCCATTACCATTGGTTCCTTTGGAGCTGAGCATGAATCTGTTGTTCGACAGAAACATTTTCGGCTTGTGGGAGACTCAGTGACTGAGCGACCACGTAGAATCATTACTTCACTAAGTGAAAACGTCTAGATCCGTTTGTGGAGTTCGATCATCTTTGGGGAAAGATGCTCTGGTGAAGCACTGGGACGGCTTACCGTCAAGTTCTTGACCAGAATCATTGCCCTGAAATCCCCATAACTCTTTAGCTACGGCATCGCCTTCCTCTGACAACAGTAGAAAAATGAAAAACTCATTACCTTATTCTTCAAGTGAAATCTGAAACCGTACAACTAATGGTATCAACTCAAACCTGGCTTCAATTTCTCAGGATCTGGCAATTCCTGATTTGGGAAAGGACTACTGCTTTCAGCGTTATTCGATGATTTCTGAGTGTGTAATGGTATCTGCGAATATATATTATGCAGTCTCTTATGTAACTCTTCCATCTTTCCCAACAGTTCATCAGCTCTGTCCATATCTATGAGAACCTGCAGGAAACACATCTATCAAACACCGAGAAGATGCATAAACTGCATTAGGAATGGAAGATCAAAGGTTTTGGTTACATTTAATCTACCTGAGCAGGATGTTTGTGGAAGATGGGTGCAAACCTCTGCCGACAATACTCACTAAAAAGCAGAGTAACAAGAATTAATGGTATGGTGAAACCCGAAGCAACCGTTGATAGCTTTAATCCGAAAAAACCCAAAGCTATAATCTGCGTCAGGATCAATGAAAAGATTGTTGTGTTGTGAAAGATAGGCCAGTATTGTCCACCGCTTTCGTACTTTGTAATATACACGTTGAGTATCTGCAAAAAGAAACAAACAACCCTGTCAAGGCGCAGAAGGTCTCTATCCACTGACTATATCAAGTTATCATTGCAAAAGCAATCACTTCAAACTTCGATCTAATATGGCAAACATGCAGTAACAGTCAAGGAGAGAAAAACAGCCTATGCAGTTCATAAAGCAACTTAAAGTTAGATCTTTATATAGACCACGAGTACATATAACGCAAGATGCCCAATAAAGCTAAGCTCATTGTTTATCAATGTTTCACATACACGTCCATTATGATGGTTTCAGAACTTGATTGTAAGAGAGATTAGAGGACGTAGGGATTGCACACTTACCTGATTTTTGTATATCAGATATGCAAGGAAGAAGTATATCAGCAAAAACGGTAGAATTAGTGGCGCAATGACTGAATTGGTGAAACCCAAGAGCCCAAACAAAAGTAGCCGTGGAATTTCAGTATGGTATGGGAACCTAAGTGTTTCATATGAGTCATCCTTGTTCTTGGTTATAACTTTTACTCCCAGATTCCAGATAAGAGCCATTGGTTGCATTATTTCACAAGCCAAACTGGCCCAACCAGATGTGAAGCAATAGGTCATGAAAAAGCCAGCCTGCATATGTCAATGGTTAAAGCCATATTCAGAATCAATTATACATTTTCATTTTGCCTCGTCAAGATGAACTATGATAAGGTGCTCAAGCTATGGAGATCTAAAGCAATCAGAAAGCTCAATCCAAAATGAGAACAATACAATGTGTGAAATTCCTCCAATGGCCTATATATTCTCTGGTATGTGGTTTATTATGGAACAAGGAAAAAGCACAAATTTATAAAATCATACAATCTGAAAGCTGAAAGATCTTGGCAAAGGAATATGGGTAAATTACCTGTGTCGGCACTGCTCTTGCAAGTTGTGCAGGTATGTCTCTGACACTAGAAAAGACATTCAATTGCCTGATAACAGACCCTGATAATATATTCACGAAGAACACGTTCCAAATGGTAAAATATAAGACTTTGATGCACGCACTCTTCTTCCTTATACTCCGTGAAATACATCCCTCCAAGGTTGAAAAATACATCATTAATGGTGGAACGGCATAGAAAAATAGTATCAAGATCACACTGGGCAAGTACCCTGTGATGACCTGGTTTATAAACTTCCTGCAAAATGGTTTGATACACAAACAAATTAAGAAAAATAGATATTTGATTTTAAATCTATAGAGCATGCTTGTGTATTCTACTCCATATATATGTCAAATGTCAATATACCACAAGATATGCTGCACCGGAGTTCCAAATCTAATATCATGTCCAGAACAATATAAACAAAACC